ACCGGAGAGTTTGACCAGTATTTAAAATAAATTTTAGAGGTAAGTAACCAGAAGCATAGTCACTTGTTTACAGTCATACGGCAATGAAAGGTTGGAACAAAGACAAGGAGTCCTGACTCAGTCCCATACTCAAATATTGATTTGTTGTTTGAAAAGCAGAACCCCCAAAATTAGGGTGGGGGAAGGAAATCTACCATCACAAGTACTAACTGGCATTCAACTGTGACAGAGATCTAAATACAATAGGCAAAAGACTTCTCTGATCTAATATTAAAATACATGGCTGAAAACTACAGTAAGTAATTTTCATAGCACAAAAGTTAGATGAGCAAGTGTGCGATATCTGACAACATAAATGAAAGATAAAAGACATACTTACAGAGACAAGAATATTCGTGCCCCAGACGCATGAGAAAAGGTAGAATGCACTAAGTTGTCCAGATTCATTGAACTTGCTGTGTTTTGTTTTGGAAAAGTGCATTCTCCTGTTAATTTTCTAAAACAAAAGTTATTTATGTTATTGATAAACATATTGAACCATTTGTTTTAAGAGGAGGATGGTTAGATGTTACTTAAGTATAGTTTTCATAAAATATCTAAAACTGAAGTTAATGCATTCTAATTAAATCTTACAATAATAATTTATACCATATTTATCTTAATGGAAGAAATGTATACTTGGTACTTACATCAAGCACATACTCCTGAATAATGGCATGTATGATTATTGCTACCAGCATGTAGAAAAAAACTGTAGCCAAGTCCTTGATACCATAATGATAAAGGGAGATTGTTTCTGTAGCTTGTTCTTCTACAGGACAAAAACAAAGTTTTATTTTTAGAAAGCTCATTATGAAGATCCTGTTCAGTTCAATTAACAATATGTTTGTCTATTTCTCAAAGCAGTATTGTTAAGACAACAAATCAGTTAAAAAGGATATTCCTATTTTGTGCTGGATACAAATTGAAACCAAATTAATGATTCATGATTGCCTAACTCACTAGAGACTTAGTTTATAATAATCAATTCCCTCCCATTAAACTAAATTTATGTCTGTAGAGATGTACAATGGAAAACATAACTGATGTATTTAAACTCCAAAACTCAACTCTTACAGTTCCTTCTTGACTACTTTAAATTATTTGTCCCCCTCTGACTAGCACAGAGCATTACATACAGGCCCAGAATCCTAATCAAAAAGAGGATTCATGTGCATCTCCACATCAGGCAATATTTTTAATATGATGAACACAACGGAACAGCCTTAAAAATGTTATCACAAAATTAATCTCAAGTGACATAGTTTAAGATTAAGAGTGGATTAGCAAGAATTACTTTGGTCGGCATCCAGACTTGCACAGGGTCAATCTTACAATGAACACTCAATTTGGGAGCGTACAGTATACCAACAATTTATGAAAATTCTGTCTACTCCATGGTACTAGTGTTTAAATTCTCAAAAGACACCTACCTGTAGCAGGAATGGTAACATTGTACTGAAGTGTAACAAAAATGACAGCGGCTTTTGCTGTAATCTGGAAGAACAAGACGAAGTGAGTGCTATAAAATCTAAATTAAAACAAACCAAAAAGTTTACTAATCAAAAAACACATATCCAGCATGGCTTGAACTAGAAAAGCGGTGGAGGCAGGGTGCTTGGCAATGATAAAAGAAAGGAACTTTATCCCAAAGTCATCTGATCTGACTTTCAACCGACAGAACTGCCTATCTAGGAAAGCAAACTCCCACAATGCAGGGATTGAGCATTGCCGCAATACTTTAACAATCCTCTCCAAAAAGTCTCCTCCAAACTGCCTATTTACCAGTTAATCCCTTTCCACCACATTAAACTAATAACACAAGCTGCAATTCCCTTTCCACTATGGTTCACTCTAATATACCAAAGTATTGTAATGCCAAGTCACCTATTTTAGACCATCTTTGAACTTTTTTTTAGTCAATCACCAAACAATAGCCTTGTTTCAAACTCAATTTTAACATCCCAGCTAAAAATAAAAATAATCACAAACAGGAGGATAGGGGTGGGCTGGCAGACAACATATAGAGCTGATGCTGACACATCCCTTAAAAAAAAAAAAATGAATTGCATACCAGGCTCAAACGAATTAGGCCTTGTCTACACTGCCACTTTACAGCACTGCAACTTTCTCGCTCAGGGGTGTGAAAAAACATCCCAGAACGCTGCGAGTTTCAGCACTGTAAAGTGGCAATGTAGACAGTGCTCCCCTCGTGGGAGTGGGTTTTTTTTGTTATTTTTAAACACAGCGCTGGGAGAGATGTCTCCCAGCGCTGGTGCTGCGACTACACAGCCACGTTAAAGCGCTGTCACGGCTAGTTGAAGTTGCTAATCAAGACATACCCTTAGAAACCTTTGAACACTAGACAACACAGAAATACAAGCACACAAAAAAAGTAAAACAAGGTGAACAGAATGTGGCTAGAGTAGTGATGCCATTGATTATTCTGGACTATATGAAAAAAATATATAAAAGAAGGTCAGAACAAATGCAGAATAAATTTGCTAACTTTCTTTAGAAAAAACTATTTTAAAAAAATTGAAAACTTACACTCCAGTATACAAAAATCTTTTCAGCATTAGCAAAATCAGTTACTACAATAAACAATAAGACATTACCACTTTGTTTTTGAAAACCGTGAATCACAGGTGTACATAAAGAAGAAAAAATTCAAATCCATCCTTTTTCCTCTCCACATAAAAACAATGTATAGACTGTTTTCACAACCAAAAATATCTGGGAAGACAGACATGTCTGGCTTTTAGAGGCAAGCCTTAGCGTAGTATAGGAGAGTTATATATTTTTTTAAACCCCTACTCTCCAACCTATGTTGATAATCTGTGGCCTTTGGATACTGAATATTACTTAAAGTTGGAAAAAACTGATATAAAAAACTAGTCATATATATAAAATGCTTATAAATCTTCAGGCTGCTCACCAAACGAATAAGGGATTGATTATGCTCTTAAGGATCCTGGTAACACTGACTGACTACTAGCACATCAAATTGAGACGCTCTTATCTTGGCTCAAAATAAGTGAGTGCTATTCTGAAGGGAGCACATATATTACAGTCTTTGTGCACTCTCAATAAGCAACTGAAGAGAGGCAAAAGAGACATTTTGCAAAATAGGAGATCCAGGAGACAAATTTGCCATTTCTTTTTCACTTCAGTGACACTTAAAAGAAAATTTAGAAGACTAGTTTTAATTTTCAACTTGATTAGATAGTTTAGTCAGTAAGTGTACTCTGACTTTTAACCATTGTCTGAGAAGCAGCTAGAAAATAACTAGATTTCAGTTATCTCAAACATATTTTTTGTTGTCCCAGGCAGCAGCATATCACCACTTTTCTGGCCGGTTGTCATAAGAAATCAGTTATGAGACTGAATGCAGACAGATGACTCTTTAAAGCTTAGTGGATACTTAGGAGTGGGATATAAATCTTCACTAATTCCAAATTGATTTTGCATGGCAAGGTCATCCATCTTCCCAATAATTACTATCCAAACAAGACACTAAACCACTGAACTGCAAGGGCAGGAAAATGGAGCGCATCTGCCCAACAACAGCTTCCCCTTCGGCGGCTGCCTGGAGATGCAAAGCGCACCTCCGCGTGTCACTACTGTTTGTGCGGCTCCCCGCCGAGTGCTGCTGTTGTTTCTCACACGTGTTGCGGCGGGGGGTGTGAATCACACAGCGAGTAAGCAGCTGCTCATGACGCCTCAGTACCGGGGCAGCAGAACACGGCAATCGCGGTCAGCCGGGGGAGAGGCAGCCTGGGACACGTCACCGTTTGCTCCCCTTTCCCGGGAGCTAGCTGGGGGCAAGGCCGCCGCCCCAAAGGCAGGAAACGCGCTCCCCAACAAGGCCTTTCACACCCCCCCCCCCATCATCCCCGCTGCTTACACGCGGCAGCCTCGCTGGGCCCCAGCCGCCGCTCCGCCTCCCTCAGCACTACGAGCCAGCCGCTCCGTCCCCCGCCCCCCGGCAGCCGCTCCGCTCCGACTGCCACGTAACCTGGCCGAGGGCAGCAGGAGCCGCAGGGCGCTGCTGCTGCCGCACAAAGGGGAAACGCCGCTTCCCCCATCCCGGCTGCAGCGCCAGCGGGGCTGCCCCTATAACCCAACCCGCGGCCGGCCTGCACAAGAGGGCGGAGGGCTTGCGGGCGGTGTCCTAGGGAACAGAGCATGGCCCAGCTCCAACAGCCCCCTCCCCAACACGCCCCTCCTGCAAGCTGCTCCCTGTGCAACGTGTCGGCCGGCAGGGGCAGATCCCCCAGCAGCCCGCGGGGTTAGGAGCCCTCAGGTATGGGGGGGGATGGGGGAAGGTGTGCTCGGCATCACCCCTCCCCCCCCCCCCGCACAGCGGGAGGAGGAGCCTGAACAGCCCAAACCCCGCCCGGCAGGGCCAGATCAGCGTATCAGCTACACACACATCCACCCTGCAGGGCAGCGCCCCCTGCACCCTCGCGCCGGGCTCACCCCCACCGCGGCAAGGCCCCTCTCCCCTGGTCAGGGCACTAGGGGTGGGCACCTCCCGGGGCCGTGCGGGCAGCGGCGGGCCCCCAGGGCGGGGGCGGCTCACCTCGAACATGAGCCCCAGCAGGAAGACCATGGCCACGCAGGAGACGATGTCCGCGTGGTTCTGCACGATGAACTCGTGGCTCAGCACGGGCGGGTTCTTGCTGCTCTTCTTGCGGATCGCCATGGTGGTGAGCAAGGAGCTGAGAGCCGCCGCGGCCAGGAAGGGGCGGAAGAGGAGGCGGCCCGCCCAGCTCCTCCAGCGCTCGGCACGGGAGGGAAGTGGCTCGTCCTAGCTCCGCGCGCCGCCTGCGGCCAGAGACGGAACCCTTGGCCGGCCGGTGGGAAGCTGCAGCGCCACCTGCTGGCGGGCGGCAGCGACGCCTGTCCTGACTCCTTCCCGTCCGGTGGGCGGGGCGCTCGGTAAGGGTAAGGGCGGCCGTTGGCTCCGCGTTGTTGCACGGGCCGCTGACGTTCAATCCCGGTTTGCCAATACGGCCGCTGACGTTCAAACTGACCAATCACAATGCCCCGCCTCAGGGCCGGGCTAGTGTTAAAAACTGCTGAGGTGGGGCAGATTTTGCTACCAGTAGGGTTCACTGACGCGTAAGGTGCCCTGTCACAATTTGCCACCTCCCCTTTTCTCATTGGTTCTGGGGTAGCAAGTTCTGACCGGACATCAAGCGGTGAGAGGTAGCAAACCATGATGACAGTTGTTGCCCTTTACAATTTGCTACCATTTTGAAATCTCCATTGTAAATGTGGACACCAGGAGAGGTACTTTTAAAAATTTAAAAACTTTATTATTGTAACAAGGTGTATAAACAAGAATAGCTTACTTTACATTTCAGTGTTTTTTTCAAAAACAAGCATCTAAACATGTTTATAGCTAGAGAGTTAACACTTTTTTCTTTACTGAAATGTACATTAAAATAATGGGCAGCACCTGAACCACTGCTGGGGGAGGCTAGCCCCCTACCCTACCTGAGGCCCCGCCCATTCCAACCTCCACCGTGGCCGCCAGCCCCTGCCCCAGGCTAGCGCCCTCAGCCCCAGAGCTAGGGTTGCCAGGCACGCTGGTGGCTCCGGTCAGCACTGCCAACCAGGCTGTTAAAAGTCCGGTTGGTGGTGCTGTGGGGCTAAGGCAGGCTTCCTGCCTGTCCTGGCTCCACACTGCGCCCCAGAAGTGGCCGGGTCCAGCTCCTAGGTGGTGGGGACCACGGGGCCGTGTGCGCTGCCCCCGCCCCCGAGCACCGGCTGTGCACTCCCAGTGGCTGGGAGCCCTGGCAAATGGGAGCTGGGGGGTGTGCCTGCAGGCAAGAGACGTGCACAGAACCTTGTAATCCCCCCATCTAGGAGCTGAACCTGCTGGCTACTTCCAGGAAGCAGTGCGGAGCCAGGACAGGCAGGGAGCCTGCCTTATCCCCACTGGCTGCTGAGCGGAAGCTGCCCGAGGTAAGCCTGAGCCCCAATCTTGAGCCCCTGCCTCAGCCCTGAGTCCTCCCCAAACCCAGAGCCCCTGGCTGCACCCCAAACCTCTCATCCCCGGCCCCACCCCACAGCCTGCACCCCCTATTTACTGAATGGTTGCAATGATTTAATGCTAATATATATACACTTGGTTTCATATTATCATATCAGAGTCTTACGCTATATATTGATTTACTCTGGCCTGTGTTGCTAATAATATCTTCTCACTTATGCTAGATGCTAGTGTTTTGTGCCCACGTTCAGTGAAGCAGTTAGCAATGCTCAAATCACACAAGTTCACTCAATATCCATTATTAAGCACAGTGAACACAAGTATGTGCTGTTTCCATTTTTCTTTCTTAATATCAGGAAGATATTATCCTCACTTATGTTAAATTTACTGAAAATACTTTCACATTAACACTACATGTAAACTATGAAAATAAATATCTAAAAAATCACCTCCAGTTCTTTCATATGTTGTCTCATCACACATGGGATTAATTATTAACAATTCTTTTGTTTCCATTAATGTTATCTGTAAGTGTAAATACATATGCATATGTTATTGGTAATATGACAATTTGAACAATTGTATAATGATTTTTCAAAACATTGCATGCAGATATTCTCATTTATTATGTTTCACTAACACAAGATAAAATCATATTGTGAATTCCTTGATTAAAACACTACAGACTATATTCTTTAATTTTACATTACCAACATAATAACACTTCACACTAGCATTTTATTTTTTAAACTTCAGTCCTCAGAATTTTTTAAACTTCAAGACTTACACTGAAGTTCCAATTTAATTTGTATGTCTTAAACTGTATTGAAAACTCATAATACAGGAAATTATAACACTGCTACATAGCTGTATTTGAAACCTGTTATGTAGTAGAACATTCAGTGCATACAATCCCAAAGTATAACCATGGAAAACATCTTACCACAATAACCTGATGAGTTGGTGTGTTGAAAGGAAGCAATAATATATAATTTAAGTAATTAATGGAGATATCCTATCTCTTAGAGCTGGAAGGGACCTTGAAAGGTTATTGAGTCCAGCCCCCTGTCTTCACTAGCAGGACCAAGTACTGATTTTGCCCCAGATCCCTAAGTGGCCCCCTCAAGGACTGAACTCATAACCCTGGGTTTAGCAGGCCAATGCTCAAACCACTGAGCTATCCCTCCCCCCAAATTTTGCATAATTCCACTCTCTGTTCATTGAAAAAAAATTAAGAATGCAGTTATACTTTTCAATGAAGCAGACCATTCAATGTAGATTATTCTGTATTTCTCAATTTCAGTATATGCTTATTATCACTCATTCCCCAACATAGCATTGTATTTGCTGTTTCTTAAGACTATGCTTATCTGCCTTTATGAAAATATGCTTTGCCCATGTTGGGCATGAAAGCTTGTTAACATTTATCTTCTTCAGTTTCATTTGTCTTGCTCTGCCTGACAGAACACCAATGGAAACTACTGACAAGACGGCTTGTACCTGTTGACATTTAAGCAAGTTTTTAATGTATTAATCATTGTGGCACACAAAGAATGTAATGTAGTTCATAAATACATACATGGAAGGGATCCTTACTGTTACAAATAAGTTATGTAAGATGGATTACAAATCTTTTCTTTTTAAGACCCCATGTGCTCTTTCTTTCTTACTTTAAAAACTGACTAACCAGTGCACATCCTGGTGATGAAGTCATGGCCCCACTGAACTGTATAGCAATCAATCAATCAATAAAAATGGCTACTAGCCTTTCATAACTGTTGTTCTTCAAGATGGGTTGCTCACATCCATTCCATGCTAGGTGTGTGTGCACCATGAGCACAGTTGCCAGAGATTTTTTTTCCTTTAGAGGTATCCCCTTGGACCCTTGCACTATATACTGGTATAAGGGGCACTCCGGCCTCTCACCCTGCTGCATGGCCAATTTACGGCTTTTTGACATGGCTGCTTTTAGCAATAAGCAATAGTGGTTTCAGGTACTTTACTGGTTTGCCAAAATCTCCCCGTACAGAGTGGGTGGTAACGAGAGGGACAACAAGTCCTTCACAGCTTGGAAAGCCTGTGGAGTCAAGAGGCGTGAGGGATCATGACTGCTCCCAGGAGTCGGAGGTGGGTCCCGAATTGGGCTTGGTGCCTTCGGGGAGGGGAGGGGGACAGGAGAGGGGTGTTGCTGGAGCTGACCACAGGTCTGAGGATGACAAGTGGCCTGGCATGGATCTCATCACATCCCCCCTTGTGACCCTCTTTGGCGACAGGGAACATCCTCTTTCTTGCACTGGGGATGGCGAACGGTGCCAGGAAAAGCAAGGTGCCAGCGGTGCACTTCATACCGAAGCCGTAGTTCTCGGTGCTGATTCGGAGCGGACGGCTCTGAACCCAGTCTCAGGGCTGCCTCCATTAGTAGAGCCTTCAGGTGAATGTCTGTTTTTTTGAGTTCTTGGCTTGAAGCCCCTGCAGATCTTACATGATCTTGTCTTTGATGTGAGCTTCCCCAAGGCACTTCAGAGAGGCTGAATATGGGTCGCTCACACTGGCATAGGTTTGCTGCAGGTGGAGCACAGTTTGAAGCCTGGAGACCAGGGCATGCCCAGTCCCTGGGATGATGCCCCTCTAAGAATGGGACAACTAGCTATACTCTTAATTCTAAACTAACTATAACTATAATTGTAACTCTATACAAAACTGTGAAGACCACACTAGGAAAGCTACGTAACAAAGTCCTGAAATCCCACAACATAACCCTTTCAACAACAAAAAAAACTTTACAATGCTTTTGTGTTCATATCTCTCCTCTACAGCTGTGAAACCTGGACACCATACAAATAGCATATCAAACAGCTAGAGGCCTTCCATATATGGTCGCTGCGTGCCATTATAGGGATCTGCTGGCAAGACAAAATTACCAACCTGGAGGTTCTCCAAAAGTCAAATGCCACAAGCACCGAGGCCATGTTGATAAAAGCCCAACTACGCTGGGCTGGACACATCATTAGGATGCCTGAACATTGACTCCGCAGAAAAAAATTTCTATGGAGAATTGGCACAAGAACACTGGAATCAAGGCCACCCCAGAAAGCACTATAAGGATAGCATCAAGAACAGTATACACTTCAGTGCAATAAAACCGCATGATCTTGAGAAGTGTGTGTTAAATAGATCAGCACGGCGACACACAATATTCAGAGCTTTCCAAGCCTTTGAAGAGGATGAAATAATCGACTGTTAGCTGAAAGGGAAAAGTGTTATACCACTACTATAGCTACCAAGACCCTCACCAATGACTTTGTCTGCCCGATCTGCTTACGAGTATGTGCATCACGCTTTGGATTTAGGAGTCACTCTAGAATCCACAAAAAAAGATAGCATGAAAACTTCGTTGTCAAACTGACAGACTACGTGAAGAAGACGACCAAACCACTATAGAAGGAAAGCCTTGCAGAAGCAAAAAGCCATTCAAGTAACTGTCACAGGCAGTAAGTAGGAACTGAGTAGGTGTGGGGCCAGCGGTGCCCTATATTCTGGTACAGAGGAACGGGGTTCTACGGGGTGCTAGGGCCGGCCCTATGGATACCATTAAGGGAAAAAATCTCCGGCAACGGTGCATGTGACGCGTGCACACCTAGCATGGAATCGACACTAGCAAGCACTTGAAGAACTAATGTGGCCTTCAAGATGTAAGGATTGTATCTCAGGTATATAAATCAAAATACTTCTGATTACTTCTGGCAGCAATAAGTACAGCAAAATGCTGCAATTAAAGGTTTATATTCACACTTTCAGGCTATTTGGACTTAAATGTGTTTTACCACATATTCATCTGATGATTTAATTACTGATAAAATTGATATTTCCATGTAGCATCACAATAAGTGGCCTACCTTTCCACTTGCTTTCTTGACCACACAATACAAATACACATCAATAACCTACAACAGAAGATGAAAAAAAAGTTAAAATTTCAAAAATATTTGACAAATCAGTCCAGTCACCATCCATGTTTTACTGCTATTTAAATGTACCTCATCACCCAGCCATCTTCTTGGCTTCAGGCCATGAAATGAAAAATTATACAAATTGATTTTTCTCATTTTGGCTTCCAGTTTCAAATGTAACCTTGTGGGTCTGTAAACATGTTACGATGAAAAAAAAAGGTAACACACATTACAAACAGTTTCCTTCTTCTCTGTTTTACTATTGTGAATGCTGCCATTTTTACATGAAAACTTTTGACATACTTCATAAATGGAAATATGTTTACAAATTGTTTTAAAAAAAAAAGCTGCGGTAAGCAATTACCTTTCAGAAGCCATTCTTTGTTTTTCCCATCCTCCATAAGCAGGTCATCAAAATCACTTGGAGTGCTGCCTGCAACTTCTTCCACTACACGCTCCTCTTCTTCTGTGTCTGTGACCTCCACGTTTATAACTCTGCTGTCATGAGGCTTGTGAGATACATTGCTACCCCTTTTTCCAATCTCTTCGGAGGGGACTGTTTTTTCAATGTCACCCAAAGCAGTTTGATTTTCCATATTTTCCTCTGATCTGTTTTCAGCACCTAATGTTGGTGGCTTTTTAAATGGCTTTAAGTGGGAGATACTGTACATAGATCCTAAGTTTCCCTGAGATGGTTTCCAATTTAACTCTTTTACCCATAGCAGTGGTAACTTTGTATGGTCCACAATAGGTATGTTGCAGTGGCCATCCCTTTCTTGTTCTCTTTCTTGCATTCAGTAACATAACACAGTGCCCAACCTCAAATGTTATTTTCCCATATCTAGAACTCTTTCTTCAAGCATACTGTATTTGTTGTTTTTCTTGTGCTTTAAAAGTATTACTAAGAGCCAGTGCAATGTCAGCATCCTTTCTAGATTTCAGATTTAATCAGTACTCTTTGTAGTATTGTTCACTGAGATCCTTGAAATTTGGTGGCTTTGTAAAGAAATGGAGATGGGGCTATATTTGTGAAGTAAAGAATCACTGAATAACATATTTACATGAAAGCTGATGGTACTTAAATACACTTACCACATAATTCTCTGAGACTTGGTCTGGAAATGTTGCTTCAAAGCCATACAGTAGTCGAAAGGGTGACATTTTTGTGGTCATGTTCAGTTTAGATCACACACACACAAAAAAGTCATCAAGAAATTAATCCCAATTACTCCCAGTGTCATCAACCAACTTCCACAATCCTCTGTAACAAATGGTGATTGATTAGTTTGTGGGAAAAAAAGTAAATGTAATGTCTTGACTGAGACAGATTATACGGAATCAAAAAGGTGTAAGGAGAAGGCTATCACAGTGCATTGCTATTATTTTTCATTTCACATGTGATATGGTAAAAAGACTTGCAAAGTAATAAATTAACTTTGAAGATTTAGAACCAATTTGTAGCTTCTGGCATGGTGCATTCTACTTGCCTTTAGTACAATAATTTTCCCATCCTTAAAATTACCTTTTGATGGATTTGTTAGTGTTTTCAGCCAATCCTTTGGTTTATGGGTGGTATGGGCTGGTGAAGCTACATTCTATTACCTTTTTTTGCACATATCCAGATTAAACTGAAAGAAAATTTGTTATAAACTTTCCGTTGGACAGTGCGTGAGCTGCCTGTTCAGAGAGGCTAACCTCTGGCCCCGCCCCTTCTGCCCAAGGCTCCACCCCTCCCCTGCTCCTTCTACCCCTCTTCCCTGATGGAACATGGAGCTCCTCACCGCAGCCGCTGGCCCCCCTGCTCCAGCCCTGGGCCACCCAGATGGCCCGCCCAAGTGCCCCAGCCCCGGAGCAGCAGGCGCCGCAAGCCCAGCCCCAGAGCGCCAGGCGGGTGGCCCCAGCGCCCCCAGCCCCAGAGCACTGGGCAGTGCGGCCTCAGCATCCCTAGCCCCGGAGTGCCAGGTGGCGTGGCCCCAGACCCAGAGTACCTGGCGGGCAGCCCCAGTGCCCCCAGCCCCGGAGCATCAGGTGGCTCAGCCACAGCACCCCCAGCCCTGGAGCACTGGGGGGCCCCAGCACTGTCCCCAGCTGCCCCAAGTCCCAGGCCGGCCCACCCTATCCTTAACCCCAGCCCGCTTTGGGGAAGAGGAGCAGCCTGCCTGGGCTGGGGCCACGGGAGCAATGGCAGGAAGCAGGAGGCAGCTTTGGGTGGAGCAGGGCCATGCCTGGCTGTTTGGGGAGGCTGAGGCCTCCCCTGGCCTGCGATACCTGCTGCCCATGGACAGATCTGTATGTATGTTCCTTCCCCTATTTGACATTGCTTTTATGTGCAATTACTGTGGTTTACTATCCCATCTTTTAGTATTACTACCTGGAATAATATGTTGGAGTTTTTTTTGGTGGATAAGAAAAAATAGTGCGGGTGTTCAGAAAAACTTGTCAGCAACAATTTACATTAAAAGAAAATCACGAGGGCAATGAAGCCCATGGTCACAGTCAACTCTCTGTGACCTGATAGTGTGGTTGAAGAAATAGTAAAAATAACCACAAGAATAAGTCTTGACCTCATTATTTAATGCAGAACCGCGACCTGTCAGTATCCACTGTGGATAGCCAAAGCGAATGATAATTTTGGACATTTTCTTTGCCACCTCATATGCTGACTTATTTTGAAGTGGAAATGCTTCTACCCATCTTGTAAGATAATCCGTGGCTATCGGTATATACTGGTATCCCTTCTTGTGGTTGGTAATGGCCCTATTAAATCCATTCTCACCAATTCCCAGGGCCGACTGATGTATATGTAAGCGTAAGGTTACAGTAATACTTTGTATCTCTCTTATTAAATGTTCTGAATAAGCCAGAGGTGAGCTGGAGCTGGTTCCCACCAGTTCGCGGGAACCGGTTGTTAAATTTAGAAGCCCTTTTAGAACCAGTTGTCCCTCACGGGACTTTTAAATTTAACAAAAGCTCCAGCAGCTCCCTGCCCTTCCTCCCGCCCCAGCTCACCTTGCTCCGGCTCCTCCCCTGAATGCTCCCCCGGCTTCTCCTCCCCCTCCCCGGCTTCCCGCGAATCAGCTGTTATCTCGTAGTAAAACTAAAGTGCCTTATGTCCATGATGTTTATAGCTCAAAAAATAATAAGTGACACTTTAGCTTTATGACAAGCTGCCTAGGAAACATCATCACAATACTTATTACATAACACTTGATTAAAAAACAACTTTCTGGAGGAGAGAGAACCAAGTGTTCTGTGTTTTCAGAATGATATAGAAAGCATTCTACAGAGTTGAATTTCAGGGCTATTGTATGCAAAACCCTGAATGATAGTCCGAGTATTTCTTTATTAGTCCTTTTCCGCTGCAGAGTAGGTCATACTGTTTATTAGTAAAGAAACATTGAATGCCCACAAAACATTTAAAGTAGTGTAAAACATTGTAAATAGTATTTAAAATACTTATTTCTTTTTGAAAACAAGCTAATAAGCAGAAAATCTCCATTGTGCTTTATACAGACTTCCTCCCTTTGTCACTGTTACACATATTGAGCAACAAGATTTCAACACAGAAATGTCGCTTTCATACCATGGTGCATACATGTCCGCACATTGCTCTCTGCTCTTGTTTTTGAGACAATTTATTGAGCTTTTTCACTCACTGCTAAAACTCAAGTGTCTTGTCCTTATTGTGTTACTTCAGAATAGCTCAAACACCTTTGTTACTGCAAGGTGATAAAAAATTCGAAGTTTTTTAGCAATGAGGAAAAAACAGTTACCTTTTCCGTAACTGGTGTTCTTCGAGATGTGTTGCTCATGTCTATTCCACAATAGGTGGCACCTCCATGGTGCAGGATAAGGAGCGCTGCGTGCACCTCCCGCCCTCAGTTCCTTTTTGCCAGACAACTCCGACAGAGGGGAAGGAGGGTAGGATGTGGAATAGACATGAGCAACACATCTCGAAGAACACCAGTTACGGAAAAGGTAATTGTCTTTTCTTCTTCGAGTGATTGCTCATGTGTATTCCACAATAGGTGATTCCAAGCTATATCTGTTGGAGGTGGGAAGGAGTTCACAAACTCTCGGGATGGAGAATGGCCCTGCCGAACCCAGCGTCCTCCCTGGTCTGAGAGACAATCGCATAATGCAAGGTGAACATGTGAACTGAAGACCACGTGGCAGCCCTACAAATATCCTGAATGGGGACATGGGTCCAAAAGGCAGCCAACGAGGCCTGTGCCCTAGACGATTGCACCTTCACAATTGGTGGCGGAGGGATTCCTGCCAGGTCATAACAGGTATGGATGCACGAGGTGATCCAGTTGGACAGCTGCTGAGTGGAGATCGGCCGACCTTTCATGCACTCGGCCGAGGCAATGAACAGTTGCAAGGACTTTCTGAATGGCTTAGTCTGCTCTAAGTAAAAAGCCAGAGCCCGTCTCACATCCAGCGTGTGGAGGCGGCGCTTCTCACTGGACACCAAGGGCTTGGGGCAGAGGACCAGCAGAAAAATGTCCTGACCCATGTGGTAGGCGGAGACCACCTTCGGGAGGAACGAAGGGTGTGGTCGGAGCTGGACCTTATCTTTATGAAACACCACGTACGGGGGCTTGGAGGTCAGGGCCCTGAGTTCCGAGACCCGCCTAGCCGACATGATCGCAACCAGGAAGGCCACCTTCCATGAGAAGTGTGACCAGGAGCACGTGGCTAGCGGCTCAAATGGGGGCCCTGTGAGACGGGCCAAAACCAGGTTTAGGTCCCATTGCGGGACTGGGGACCTAACATATGGGAAGAGATGATCCAACCCCTTAAGGCATGGGAGAATACCGTGTGGCCCTGCACCAGCAGATGGAAGGCCAATATGGCCGCCAGGTGCACCTTGACTGACAAGGGCGCCAGGCCCTGGGCTCTATGGTGAAGGAGGTAGCCCAGAATAAGCTAGATCGGGGCGGCCACCATGGAAACGTCCCGCTTGTCCGCCCATCTGGAAAACTGAGACCACTTTGCCAAGTAGGCTTGGCGCGTGGAGGGCCGCCTGCTTTCTAGGAGGATGTGCTGAACCCCTTCCGAGCACGTCCTTTCCTCCCTACCTAACCATTGAGCAGTCACGCTGTGAAGTGGCGTGCCGCTAGGTTGGGGTGGAGGAGGCAGCCCTGATCCTGGGAGAGCATGTCAGGGCGGGACGGCAACGGCCACAGCAGGGTGACCGCCACGCCTGTGAGGGTCCCGTACCAATGCTGCCTGGGCCATGCCAGGGCAATCAGAAGGACCCGGGCCTTGTCTGTCTTTATCTTTTCCAGGACCTTGCCGATCAGCGGGAACGGGGGAAAGGCATAGAGAAACTGGCTTGACCAGGACAGGAGGAAGGCATCGGAGATAGCGCCCTGTCCCAGCCTCCCCCCGGAGCAGAACCGGGGACAGCGACGGTTCTTCCGAGGTGTGAACAGGTACACCTGGGGAGTTCCCCATACTTGGAAAAGTCTATGCACCATCTCTGGGTGGAGAGACCACTCGTGCTGAGAGGAGAAGTCCCTGCTCAAGCGATCCGCCCGCGCGTTCCCGGCAGATGGAAGGCCCGTAGGCAGATGTCGTGGGCTATACAAAAGTTCCACAGCCTGAGGGCTTCGCGGCAAAGGGCAGAGGATTGGGTCCTGCCTTGCCTGTTGATGTAGAACATCAAGGCCGTGTTGTCTGTGAGGACCCAGACCACCCAGCCCTCCAGGTGCAAGCAGAAGGCTTTGCATGCCAGCCGTACCACCCTGAGCTCCTTGACATTTATGAGGAGGGTCAGATCCTGAGCTGATCACAGACCTTGGGTCTGAATGTTCTCCACATGGGCCCCCCATCCCAGGTCCAACGCATCAGACACCAGTTCCAGCGATGGGGCCCTGCCCCTGAACAGGACCCCTTGGAGCATGTTTCTTGGGGCGGACCATCACCGTAGGTAGATGATCACTGGCTCGGGCACTGTGAGCACATTGTCCATTCTGTCCCTGGCCTGGGAGAACTCTGAGGCCAATCAGAGCTGGAGGGGCCTCATCCTGAGTCTGGCGTGATGGACCACATACATGCACGCCGACATGTGACCCAAGAGCTGGAGGCACACTCTGGCTGTTGTCACCGGAAACCTTGTGGCCGTGTCTATGAGCCCCTTCAGGATCTCGAACCTGTCTGGTGGGAGGGAGGCTCTGGCCAACGAGGCGTGCAGGACCGCCCCGATAAACTCTATGCATTGTACCGGGACTAATGTGGACTTGGTGTTGTTTACCAACAGGCCCAAAGTGGTGCACGTGGACAGAAGGAGCGCCAAGTGATCCCGCACCTGTGACGGGGAGCTTCCCTTGACGAACCAGTCATCCAGATAGGGGAAAATCTGGATCCCCTGGCACCTGAGGTAGGCCACCACCACCACCATACATTTCGTGAATACCCTGGGGGCAGTGGATAGGCCAAACGGGAGGACCATAAATTGGTAGTGTTCCTGCCCCACCGTGAAAAGGAGGAAGCACCTGTGCCCCTCGAATATATGAATTTGGAAGTACGCGTCCTGCAGATTGAGGGCAGCGTACCAGTCCCCGGGATCCAGGGAGGGGATGATGGAGGCCAGGGAGGCCATGTGGAACTTGAGCTTCACCATGTACTGGTTCAGGCCTCGCAGGTCCAAGATGGGCTTGAGCCCCTCTTTGGCCTTCGGGATAAGGAAATAGCAGGAGTAGTATCCCTTGTCTTTGAACTCCCCTGGTACCGCTTCCACCGCTCCTAGGCCCAAGAGCTGCCCCACCTCCTGCTAAAGCAGAGCCTTGTGCGAGGAGTCCCCCAGGAAGAACGGGGGCGGGGAGGAAGTAAACTGGAGGGTGTAGCTCCGGGGGATGGTGTTGAGGACCCATCGGTCCGAGGTCAGTCGCGACCAATCCGGGAGGAAAGCACACAACCGATTGGAGAAGGGAAGCTTTATTGAGGGTGGATCCCTGATGAGAACTGGCAGGGCACCCCGGGTGTCCTGTCAAAACTGCCTTTTCCCCGCTTGCTTGCCCTTGGAGGACCCAGGCTGGGGGGCAGGCTGAGACTGCCTCTGTGGGTGCCTCTTATAGTCCTGTGACTTCTTATAAGGGGTCTCGTATTTTGAATGGGTGGCCTGAGTGGGAGTCTGCTGCAGCTTGAACTTAGGTTTAGCCGGAGCCGGAACACAGAGACCCAGAGTCTGGAGAGTCGTGCGGGAGTCTTTCCGGCCATGCAGCTTTGTATCCGTTTGTTCTGCAAACAGAGCTTTGCCGTCAAACAGGAGGTTCTGCCTCACTGGACAGCCCAGAGAGCAGGAGCCATGACACCCTTCTCATGGACCCCGTGGAGGCCATGGACTGCATGGCCGTGTCTGCTGCATCCGAAGCTGCCTGTATGGTTGCCCTGGCAGCCGCTGTGCCCTCCTCCACCAGTGCTTTGAACTCTCTCCTCTCGTGCCCCTGGAGGGAGTCCACAAACTTGGGCACAGTCCACAGATTGAACTCATACTGGCCCAGGAGAGCATAGTGGCTCACCACCCGTAACTGGAAACTCGAGGACGAATAGTTTTTTCTTCCAAATGAGTCCAGCCTTCTTGAATCTTTATTTTGTGGTGTAGGGGCTGGCTGGCCCTGCCGTTCCCTGTGGTTGATCGACTCGACCACCAGGGAGTTAGGAGCAGGGTGGGTGTATAAGTATTCAT